CAAATGTAAAATAAGGATAATAATAGGACCTGCCTTTAAGGGTCATTGTGAGGATCAAATGAGACAGTATCTGTAAAGCACTTAGCACAGTGCCTGGCACATAGCTATTATTATCATTAAACCCAGGTTGTCTTGACTCCATTACACCTAGCCGCCCCAACCATGCTGCCTCTCAAAAGACCAGTAACACTTGTATCTGCCATCTATGAGCTGTGTAAGTTCAAGTAAGCTCCCTTTCAGGGCCGCAACGTCTTCCTCTGTAAAAGGGAGTGGGATGACCTCGAAGGTCCCTCCAGCCCTAAAACTATGAGGTTTCTGAGAACATTTGGACCTTTTTAAGGGTGGAGAATCCTGCCTGCTCCAAAACCCTCCTCTCAGAAAGGGGCTGTGAAATGGGGCTGGCCGGTCTTTTGTGCCCATAAGCACTTTGAAGAAAGGCAGCTGATGCCACATTCCACTGAACAAAAGTCCCCTTTGAAGGCACTGCCAGGCCCCGGCATAGTCTGATTTTTAAAAGGAAGCTGTACACCACTTTCTAAGGTGGTGGTTTGCCCACAGAGCCTCAGAGTTCCAAGAGACCTGAGAAGCCATCTAGTCCAAGCAGCTAAATGCCCAGCAGATGGAGGGCTGGACCAGAGGTCAGAGACCCGAGTTCAAATTACACCTCAGCCACTTCCTAGCTGTGTGACCCTGGGTGAGTCAGTCAACCTGTCTGCCTTAGTTTTCTCATCTGTAAAATGGGGACAATAGTACCTACAGGGTTATTGTGAGGATTAAATGAGATATTAATAAAGTGTTTCAGTGCCTGGTATGTAATAGGTAGATATTTACATATATTATATATATATTATATATATATATATAAAATACTTATATACATATGTATATGAGGTGATTATATACAGTGCCTGGTATAGAATAGGTAGGTGCTCAATAAATGCTTATTCTCAGGGCAGCTAGGTGGCATGGTGGATACAGCACCGGCCCTGGAGTCAGGAGGATCTGAGTTCAAATCCAGCCTCAGACACCTAACACTAACTGTGTGACCTTGGGCAAGTCACTTAACCCCAACTGCCTTGTCAAAAAAAAAAAAAGCAAAATAAATAAATAAATGCGTATTCTTTCTCTCCCTCTCTTCCTTCCCTCCTTCTACCCCCAGGATGGCCATTCAAGCTCTGCTATCACATGAGCCGTCTTCTTCCCCATCCCGATTGCCTTCTTCTGGTCATTCTGCTTTCTCCAGCTCTTGAAGAGCCAGGCCTGGGCAGACTGGCAGCCTTGGTGGCCGGCAGGGCCCCAGCTGTGTATCTCAGCTCCAGTACCGACTCCCCCAGTCAATGACAGTTAGACTAGATGACCCCAGTCCCTTCCAGCCTTAAATCCAGGACCCAGTGACCCTCTCCTGGGCCTCAGCTTCCTCAGTCTAGAAGAAGACTGAGACTCGGTCATCTCTGAGGCCCTTCCAGTTTGAGATCAATGAGACCGGACCTTCATTTCTGTCTGTAAAAAGAGAAAGTTGCAGTCCCAGTTGAAGGTATCTCCATGCCTCTGAAGCAGCAGTGTGGAAGAGTGCATCTGAGCACCAACTTGGGAGGGGATTTGGGGTCCAGATCCTGCCTCTGCCCCTACTTATGTGACCTTAAATGTCCCATAATCTCCAGGTCTGCTTTCTCCTCTACAGTGAGAGGCCAGACAAGATTACCTTCAAGGTCCCATCCAGCCCTGATTCTGGGAGCCTTCCCTTCCTCGGCCCTGTTTCTCCAGCGGTCAAACCAGACGGCCACTGAGGTCCCTTCCAAACCCCAATGAGCGTACAATGCTAGCAGCTAGCACTGACACAGCATTTCAGTTTGCCAAGCACTTTACACATCTCTTCTGACCCTCACAACCCTTCCAAGTAGATGCTATTATCCCCACTCTGAAATATAAGGCAACTGAAGCAGATGCTGCAACTTGCCTGCCTGACTCTAAATCCAATACTGTGCTATGCCACCATCCCTTCTCTCAGCCTCAGTTTCTTTTTCTGTAAAATTGGTGTTAGGACTAGATAATCTCTAAATGTCTCATTATGGGAGATATATGGTAGAGTGAAGAGCATTCCACCTCATGTCAGAGAACCTGGGCTCCAATACGTGCTACTTGGGTGCCCTTAACCAACGTGGACTCAGTTTCCTTCTCTGTAAGAGTTGGATTAGCTGGTTCCTAAGGTCCCTTCCAGCTGTAAATCTGAGCTGCGATCACTTATCTGGGCTGATTTCCTTCTTTGTAAGATGAGAGGGTCAGGCTGGATGGCATCAGTGGTCTCTCCCAGCTCTACAACTACGGTACAATGTACCTCTCTAGCCTCAGCAGCGTCCCTTGGAAAATCCCATCTCTAACTTGCCCCTTCTCATCATCCTTTCAGCTCCTTCCTCAGCCCCACTCCCTCCGCCCTTCCCACGCCACCCCCACCACATGGCACACAAGAGACAGATGGGTCAATACTTTATTTTTTTCCTCCAGCTCCAGTGGTACAACTGTAGCAGCATATTGGGAAACTAAGACCTCACACACCAAGGCACACTCCTTTCCCCGCCCCCCAACCTGCCCCATTCCTTCTTCAAACAGCTGGTTAACAATCAGAAAAGAGGGAGAAATAGGGTTTGATACAAACTACAGGCAGCCATCACAACCTTTAAAACTTTTTAAAACAACTCTTTTGTTCCCTTTAAAAAAAATACACTGTGTTCTTGCAGATACGAAGCAGCAAACACATTTGGATTTCACAGGTCAAACAAAACACAAGACACACTCCCCCCACCCCTGTCAAATACAATGGTCCCAGGCAGTACAGGTGCATTGGGAGAGGCAGCCTCCAACAGCGAAAGCTGGACCCATGTAGCTTCTGGTATGGTTCAATAAAAAGGACAGAGAGAAGATCAGGAAACCAGGCAAATTTACCCAGCAATTAAGGCGGAGTTGCGGTAATGGGGAGAGAAGAATCAAGTTCTGAAGGTTTATCTTATCCATTACAATTGATGGTGGTACCTTTGTCTTACAGTTCCTACATAGCAGAAGTCATCCATCCAGACATCAAGGCACAGAACACACGAGAAACTTGTCCAAGGATGAGCCTGGAGCATCATGTGCTCTTCAAGGCCAAGTGGTTGACACAGAGCCCCGAGGTGTGGCATGATTTCATTTTTGCCTTGGAATCCCAGCACACAGTAGGCACTTAGTAGCCTGTGGAATCAAGCAGAATTGGGGCAAGCCCAGGCCTGGAAAGTCTTAAAAAGAGATCAGCAGGCCCCTTCCCTAAAGAAAGCCTCACCTAGACAAGCGGGCATTCCAGTTTCTAAATACCATTTGAAACGAAAGTTTAAGGAGGAAGAGGAAATGATTGGGGGCCAAGGGGGAAGAGAAGAAGGATGAGACACTACTTTAGAAAATAAATTAACCTGGCTCTAGCTTCAGCAGGTTCAACCTTTCCACTGCCCACTTCCCCCTTCCCAAACCCCCAACATGGCGGAGGTACGATCTGGACCCTGTCCCTGCCCTGTCTGCTGTCCCCAGGCCCCCTGAACTCTGACGAGGCTCCGGTTGTCTAGATCCTGACAACAAGGCCATGCTTCTCTCTGAGGGACCTCAACTTGGCACTCCCATCTTCATGAATGAAGTCCAGATAGACTTTCTAAAGGTTTGGATTCAGAGGAAAAACCTTTGGGGATCACCAAGCAAAGATTTCCACCCCTTGCTTGGGACCCACCCACACTTCCCTGTGTGTCCCCAAGACCGTGGCACTATCTCAAAGGGATGAAATCAACTTTTCCCTAGAAATCAACACCTCCCACCCCCCACCCAGTGCCTATTCCCAGGTCAGAACACTCAAGGAGGGTACTTGGGCCCAGGACAAATAGCTGTTGGCTGTCTCTGGGGCCCTCTCAGAGCCTCTGCCAGAAGAAATGCCCATTGGCTGAGACTTGGAGACAGGCACTTGGGCAAGGAGAAGAATGCAGCTAATTAAATGAGTCTTTTCTCTGACCTTGGGGCTGGCAGCTAGCAATGGGCTGGGAAACACGGGTTTGTATTTTTTTTAGGAGACTCACTCAGGACACACTAAAAAACTTACAAGGGCCTGAGTCATTAACAGAAAAATACCCAATAAAAACCATCCCAAGCGTCTTGGCCCTCTCTGCAACTTGGACTCTTCCTTACCACTGATGAAGCCAAACACCCCCTGCTCCTGCCCCCATCCCCACCCCCCCACCACACACACACACACACACACACACACACACACACTTTCTTTTGGCACCTCCTTCGGGTCGTGGAAAAGCAAAGATGAGCTTTAGCAAGGTACTTCCTCCCTCACCCCCATCCCTCCTCCAAGCTAGGCAGAACGAGCAAGACCCTAAGTAATGCCACAGGAAAAATGGTCTGAAAATGCAGGATTGGGGGAGAGAAAAACAACCTCAGCAGACATGCTGCTCTGTCCATCTATGCCAGCTACATATACATCTGTCCTAGAAACAATCCACCTTAGCCACTGAGGAAGAGAAGAGTCCTCAGAAAAGGATCTTGGAGTGCCCTGGTGAGAAACATGCCTTTTATGGAACTTCAGAACACACACACACACACACACACACATACTCACACACAGAGACCAAAACCCTACACACAAACACAACCAATGCCCTTTCAAATCTTCCATCTCAAGATGTTGGCAGGGGCTGACTTGGCCACGGGCCTCAAAGGACCCAAGACTCAATGTCCACCAGAATCCAGGAGAAAGGAGCACTTGCTCTCCAGGGACTTAGAAATAGAGGATATTCATCCTGGACTAAAGGAAGTCACAGTCTGGTGAGAATGACTTAAGTAACCTCACCCCTGCCAAGCCTCAGTTTCCTCATGTGTATAAGCAGGGAGTCAGCTCAAATGGCCTCTAGTATCCCTTCCAGATCTAACATCCCATGTGTGTAAAGAGAAGAAATGACAAAGTAGTCATTTTTTTCTCTTGGTTACAGATTTTTTTTTAAATGTACCTTTTTCCCCATAAAAAAAAAACAACTCAAAAGTATAAACTCAACATTTAGTACATACACTCAAGTGAAACTTCCATGGGGGGTGGGGGTGGGGAGAGGAGCAGGGAGGGTGACTAACCCCTGGGCTTTCAGGCTACCCCTGGAGGTTGGGTAAAGATGCTTTGGTGCTTAATTATATATCATGATGGGAGAAATTGAGCCTTTGGTTTCATTTTTTAAAAAAAGCGCTTTAAAATCTCAACTGTAATACTATTTGCACACTCTCACACACATACACACACACACACACAAATTCAACTTCTACATAGAAAAATAAAGGATAAACATTATCCATCTATTTTTATATTGCGTAATGGAACTTGTATATACATATCATATTTAATCTGTCTTTAACATCTTAAGTCTCTGAGGTGCAAACTTCCCACCTATCCCAGACCCCCCCATTTCCCCAACCCTATTCTGTGCGATTTAGGATTTCTAGGGAAGAAGAAAAGTCACATTCATTCTTCTGGCAGGGGAGAGAAAAGACAGGAAGGGGGAGGAGGAAGGCATTCATCTTTCTTCCGCTAAAATCTTTCCCCAGCTATCAGTGCCGCCATTTTAGATCCAACCCCTCTTTCAAGGCTGGAAACAGGGAGGCCAGCTGGTCAGTGGCACATACCCTGCAAGAATCACACTGGTACTTCCGGAAACCCGAAGCTTGTAAAACTTGGTTTCGGGGGCATGGGGGAAAGAGGGATGGAAATGAGAGGGGGAATCCTTTCTTTTTTAAATAAGATGCTGGAATTGCTCCCCACAGTCTGATCCTTTAGTATGGAGTTCTAGTCTCGATCTGGTGCTTTGTAAGGAAGTACTTGAAAAACTCATAGACTGACCAGGAGATGGCTGTGGATGGCATCTGGTAGATTATCCGTGCCTGCATACCTTTAAAGTACCCAGAAATACCATTGAGCTGGTACACTGTCCGAAAGGCATTGGCCATGCCAGAGAGATGTCCGCTGACATTGGCCAAGGAGAGAGCCATGTTTTCCTGAGTGTTAAGGAGGGTCTTACAGACATCCAGGGGGGTAGTGGCAGCCGCTGCGATGGCTCCCGCCAGCCCTCCAGCGAGAATGTGGGACTGGGGGTTGTAACCCCGATGAGGGTTGATCTGCTCCTGAAGGAACTCATAGGTAATGAAGTGAATGGACTGGAAGGGAATGTTCATGGTGAGCTGGGTGGTGTAGCTCCGGTAGAAGGCGCCCACCCCCTCGGTCCGCCACACATCCCGGATACATCGTAGCGCCGAATGATGAGGGGAGTTGTACATCTGCATGCGCTGCTTCACCACTGCCAGGAGAGGGCGCCGATGGTCCAGGTGATCCAGGTGGAGATGTTTGCCACCCCATGATGGAGATGCAGGAGAAGGCAAGTCATAAAGAAAAACAGGCAAGTTAGACCCAAAGGACACAGACGCTGTCACAGAGCTTCAGCAGCCTCAGTCTTGGGGACCCATGAGCGGTGCATCGGGGCAGCCCAGGCTGGGTCTGCCCCATGGACTCAGAGAGTCCAAACCCAGGTGTCCTGGACCCTTGGGGCTGGCGGCGAAGCCCTTGGGCCCCTTCCCAGAATCATGTTTCATGATCAAACAACACAAATCACAAAGGAAAACCAAAGGTTAACCAAAATAAAAACCTAAGCCTTTCCCCATTCAAGTCCCCAGACCCCAGGTGAAGAAGCCCTGCCTTACCTATCCCCAAGTTGTCTTCATTGCCTTAATTAAAGTCTCATATAACATGGCCCAATCACTCTGCTTCAAACTCCCTGACCAGCTCCCTAGGCCTCCCACCCCAACAGCCGTGAGGAGGGAGAGGGGGCCGTGAGGACCCCCACTCCCAAAGCTGCTTTAGCACTCTGCACACTTGAAAACACGACAGAAATGAGAATTCTTGTTATCATGACCACCCAGACTTGAAATGACCTTCCCCAGCCTCACTCCAAATTTCCCAACCTAGGCTGTTTTTCCTTCAAAATAGGCATTGTTTTATTCTTTGTAATTGTATCTTCATCAACTACAACAGTGCCCAACACACAGTAGATGCTTAATAAATGGTTACTGATGGACTAAATGACATCTGTGTGCTTTTCAATGGTCTATCAGAATCCTCTCGGGCCCGGGTTCAACTAAATAAATTCTTAAGAGGAAGTCGGCTTGGGGAATTAATGAAAGGTCACGCACAGGATCTCAGAGGCCATCGAGGATCACAGATCTAAAACCAGAAGGGACCTTAGGGGTCATCTGGTCCAACCCTCCTAATTCTACAGCTGAGGAAACTGAGGCCCATACTCAAGAATCCTCTCTACAATCCAGCAGAATGTAAGCTCCCTGAAGGGAAGGATTGCTCCACTTTTGCCTTCAAAGACTTGCACAGACCCCGGTAGGCTCGTAATACAAGTCTGATGAATTGTTGTTGACTGTCTAATACGAGGTCAGCTATTCTTCGCTTAAAGATCCCTAAGGCTGGGAAACTCACTAGCTCCCATGCCAGCCCATCCCTCTTTTGGGTTAGCTCCATTAGAACATCAGCTCCGTAAGGGCAAGGACCATTCTTGTTTGGTCTCTATATCCCCATAACCTACCACAGTGCCTTCCTTGATAATCATAATCAACGCTGAACTGAATCGCTCAAATGATGTAAGGACAAACTTCCTCATACAGAACTGAAGTCTTCCTTGGAAACTTCCATCCACTGCTCTTAGCTCTGGGCCCCTCACTCCCCACACCCACCTCACCCTTGGCCCAACCAGAACAAGGCTAATCCCTCTCCCATGAGACAACTCTTCAATCGTTGGTTCCACTAGTAGAAAGCAAGCAAAGACTAATTAATTAATTCCAGTTTCCTTCAGGCTGGCCATTAAATATGTAAAAAAGAGACCATGTTTAAACTCTGAATGGGAGTTTAATCGTGAACTCTGAATAGGAATTTAATTCTAAAGACAAGAGACAGAGGAAAGACCACAAGTCTCAAGTTTATGGAGATCAAACATTCATTTAGCAGCCCAGATACAAATGCCTAGGCAGGCGGCAAAAATCCCAAAGTAAAATTAGGCAATGGGGTTAGGAGTTCCTTAAGAAACAGTGAGGTCCCTGGGCTGGGTGAGGTGGCGAGGCACAGTGCTGGATTTACAGTCAGAGAGTATGGCTTCAAATCCTACGTAGCCACATGACTTTTTGCAAATCCCTCCCTGTACCTCCATGGGCCTCAGTTTCCTTCTTTATAAAATAAGTGAGTCTGAGCTCCGTTCTAGCTCCTATGAGGTGTAACAAGTTTTGATCTTTGATCTTTTCTTTCTGAAATTTTATGCAAACGGATTATGATGTTTCTAGAATCAATCTTTCCTGGCCCCAAAGCTGCCTTGTCTGGTGTGAAATTACAGTCTCAGGAGGACTCAGGAAGTTTTGTAAGCTCTTCGAGACCATTGCACTGATTCAGATAGCTGATGTTTATGAAACCGGAAGCAGTGGCCTATTTCTTCCTCATATTCCACTCTGCCAAGTCCTTACTCATCATTCTAGCTTTTACTTTACAAATAAGAACAATCAGCTCTTCCGGGGTGTCTCAACCTAGACGGTAGGAGGAAAGTCAACTAAAATCGACCCTTTTATTCCCCTGAAATACCGATAAACTTCAAGGCTAACAAAGGGAAGGACTTTCCTCACGGTTTATGTCCTATACTTTCTTTGATTGCTGGAGAGCAGTGGGCTGGCCAGTCCTGGAGGACCAAGAGGGCCTTTAGCCTTCAACAGCTTCAGGAGGTATTCCCTCCGAGCTCAATGGCCTGGATACAAAAGAAGCCCATGATCTTCTTCTTTGCCTGAAGCTATTCTGGGGTCAGCAAGGCGCAAAGAGTCTGCAGGCCTGGGTCTGGATTCCCACTGTGGCCATTTACCATTTGTGTGACTGCTCCCCCAACTCGGGTCTCAGTTTTCCAACCTATAAAATAAGGCGGTTGGACTATATGATCAGTTACTGATGTTTTAAATTCAGAGAAACAGGCCCTACCATGGAAGGAACAATGAATTTGGAGTCAGAAGACCCATATTTAATTCCCAACACAGTCCCCTACACACACAGCCTCCTTGTGTGACTGATCAAGTGACTTAACCTGTCAAGGCCTCAGTTTTGTCATCCACAAAATGGGAAGGCTGGATTTGGTGACCTCTAAGGTCCTTTCCAGGATTCCTATGATCCTATAACTCATTATGCCCGGTACCATCACTAAGGGGATAGGGATAGAAACCGGGCCTGTGATTTCACTGATAACAGCAATCTTTTATGAAGAAATGCCCTTCATCAATGCATGTTGGCAGCTTTTCTGCAACTTTAAAGCCTCAGACAAAGCGCTCTTAACCTCGTTTCTCAATATGGACCCCTGTGGCAGTCCGGTGAAGCCTACAGACCTCTTCTCTTCTCAGGATGTTTTTTAAGTACATAAAGTAAAATACTTAAGATTGTGAAGAAAACCAATCATATTGAAACGTAGTTATCAAAATGTTTCTAAAAACCAGCTCCTGGGCCCCAGATTAAGAACCCATGTTTGGGAGTTGCCTAGAAGTTGTGACTTGCCCAGGGTCACACAGTCCAAAGTCTGCATGAGAACTCAGGTCCTTTCCATTTCACAACCTGTCATCAGCTCAGGTCATTAAGGCCTGAACCCAGGTACCCTTGGAAGAACTTGACCTCTTCCGAAACAAAGTCCCTTTGGTCCCTTTCTCAGAATCACAGATCTAAGAACATCTTATGAATCACATTTAAATAAGAAAAGGAAAGGGAATATGCATTTATATAGAATCACTTATGGACATTTGGGCTAAGTGTTTCACAAATACTTTTATCATTTGATCTTCACAACCACTCAGTGAGGTAGATGGTATTGTATCCCTATGGTACAGATGAGGAAACTGAAGCAAAGAGAGTTAAATGACTTGCCCAAGGTCACACATAGTAAGTGTCTGAGGTCAGATTTGGAGATTTGAACTCAGGTCTTCCTGACTCTAGGCCCGGCACTCTACCTACTGCACCACCTACCTGCCTCAATAATTAACCACCTTATTTACTTAAGGAGCTCAGTGATAAAATAAAATAAACTTTGGGGGTTCTCTTGATCTTTAGAAACAAGGCACTAGGTCTTCCTAACTATTCCCCTGGGTTAGCTGTTACTGCTCCCTCCCACACTGTCGGGACCTGCTCCAGTCTCCCCCTTCCCCAGGGCAGGGACACGTTACCTTCGGCTGGATTCATTACAGCATCGTGGAGCAGGGTGGCCAAACTCCCCGCTATCCCTGCAAAACAAACTCCAGACAGTTAGCCTCCCAAAGCAGACCACTCACTAGGGCACAATCCCTGGGGACGTTGAACCAAGCCTCTCGAGGCCTGGCCAAACCACTTACCATCAGGTGACTAACTGCTTTTTAATCCCAAAGGCCCCAAAAGCAAGGGTAAGAATGGGAGGGGGAGGTTTGTGAAGGGGTGCGGCGGTGGGGGAAGGGCACAGAGCTCAGCAAATTCCAGCTCTCTCAAAACATCTCTGGGGAGGAGCTGAGGCCAGAGAGCCCACAGAGACCACCCTCAGCAGCCTCTCCCCCTCACCTTTGGTGGGTTTTCCTCACTCTCACTGCCCTCTCCTTCATAATTCAATTTGCCCCATTCAATAATTCTATTCAATTCCTCGGTTCTAGCCTGGATGGAGCCCACCCAAGGGAGGGGGGTAAGGCAAGACAGAGGGAAATGAAAGAAGGGGGGTCTTGAAGGACAGTGCAAACAGAAGGCAGCAGAAAAGCTGGCTGGGTTAGGCATCAGAGAACCTGGGTTCAAATCCTTGGAGCAAGTGACTTCATTTCTCTGGGCCTCAGTTTCCCCAGCTGGAAAGTGCAGAGACTGGACCAGATATGACCTTTAAGGTCCAAGGAGGCTTAGGATTTAAGAATTAGAATGGGGATAGGCCAGGTGGGTAATGGAAGGAAAGGGACTCTGCAGATGTCCAAGATAAATGTGAGCTTACTGTGAGCTTCTCCACAGGCTGGTCCCCAGCCAAACCTCAAGAACCATGAGCACTGGTCCAGGAGTCCTACCCGGGAGCTCTGAGCTTTCTTATTCAGTGACGACGTTGCCAAGTAACTGACGTTACCACTGAAGACTGGGAGAGGAGCTGAGGAATGAAAGCCATCCTCCGGCCGGCCTGGATAGTCAGCACCAGGAGAGGCCAGAGAGGACGTCTCCAGGGTACGCAACGTCTTCAAACCTCACTATGCTCCCAGTGGGGCCTGTCTCAGGACTGAGATCACCAAAGACCTAAATCGAGACAATTCCTAGGTGGTCATAACATCTCAGTGAATGTTCTCAACGCATTTCTACAGAACACACTTAGGACGTGGATTACCAAGGTCTGCTGGCCGAAGGGGCAGAGAAAGCAGGGCAGAAGAAAGCTGCTACAGGTCGCATCAGAGAAAGGAGGGCCGATGAAAGCAGTTCACATCTCCCCAGCTAAGCTCGGAAGCCCAGAGGTGGCTCCCAGTAAACCGGGCCTCCATCATCCCTCAACACCACCACCCACAAACAAAAACAAAACCCCAAACCCACACGTGTGCACCCCCCCTCCTCTCCTAACTCACCCTCCCGTCTCAAGCCCACGTGGAACGTTACGGAAGAGCTGTACATAAGAACTCAAAAAACCCTGTCTCCACCCCCCTTCTCCTTCAAAAGTAAACTATTCCATCCCTTGCTCCCAGAAAGCTGTGACTCAGACGAGCCGCAGGGGTGGGAGGGGGCACCCTCCCAGGAGCTTAGATCCTGACACATGGTGGTCTGCTCTGGAGAATACGCCTCCGGTCAGTCAGTAACACTTCTTGCAAGATCTCTTAAAGCCTGATTTTCTCGCCGATGCTGCTGCAGCGCCAAAGGTCTTTTTTTTTTTTTAACATAGTCTGAGAGAGGCTGTTCAGAGAGCGCTTCTCGTAGCCCGAATTCACATGTTTGGTTTCTATTTAAGGTCTGATCAATAAAGGTCTATGAAAAGAGTCTGAGTGTTAAAGCAAAGGTCAAAAAAAAAAAAATGCAAAAAACCGAGCACACCCCTTGGTTGTCAAGTTCCCCAAAGTTCAGAAAAATTGAATATTTCTATATCTATCTATAGATCTACTCATCCATAGATATATAGATAGATATGGACAGGTCTACAGTTCGTTATTCACAAGCAATCAGACTGAAGACTGGGTGTGTTAGCTCGCTGGGTCACCCAAGGGGGAAAGCCCCAAGGAAGCAGAGAGGGGAGGGTCTGTTGTAGAATAGAACAGAGCAGTCTAACTCCAGACAAACGCTTTCAAAATACCATTGGCCAGATGGCTGTTTCCTCTGCGGTGGAGAACCTCATTTAAAGTCCTTTTCATGTTTTCGTAGCAGGCAAAATACATGGCGTGGGCTGGCCCCGCCCCCATCACCATCACGTTGATGCCCCGTAAGGGTCTCCAGAAGCCTTCAGTCCGGATGATTTGCTTGAGGGCGCCATATACGCTTGTGTAGCGGGCTTTGGGATCTGGATGCAGGCTCTGCATTCTAGTCTGCGCGGGGAGGGAAAGAGAACAAAATGGGGGTAAGTGACCCTGGAGAGATACTTTTAGGAACCTCATCTAGTCAAATCCCTCCCCCTTGTCTGTGAGGCTGAAAGAAGGGAAGCGACTATCCGAGGTCATCAAGAGGCTCCCAAGAACCACAATCTTTCTGCTCGTGGGAAGCCCCGATGGGAGGGGGCTTCCTTGGCTGCGTTTCACCTTCCACATGCCAGACACAGAGTAGGTGGCTCACTAAATGTGAAGTCTAAGAGTGACGATTCAACAGCAGCATCTGAAGGTTTGCAAAGAACTCTACGTGTCGGTGTCTCATTTGGGCCAGAGGTCCCTTCTTCTGGCTCCGGAGAAGAGGCCGTAGGAACACTGTGTCCCTCAATAAAATGTACTGACCTGTTTCCAATTCTTTATGCCCCCAGCACCTCAAACAGTGATCTGCACACAGGAGACATAAATGCTCCTTGTCTGACGAACTGAGTTAAATGCAACTGCTACAAGACGAATGTGGAAAGGTGTTTAATGTGATTGTACGTGTAAAACCTACGTCCGATTGCTTGCCATCTTGGGGAAGGGAGGGGGGGAGGGAGAAAAAAACGTGGAACTCAAAATCGTATAAAAGTGAACGTTGAAAACTATCTTTACATGTAATTGGGAAAAATAAAATATTATTAAGTGGGAAAAAAAATAAATTTAACTGCTGGTTCTCCTATTCTCTTAGACACATGTGAAATACAAGGATTGGGCAAACCTTGGTGGATGGGACTGTTCAACTCAGTAGAAAGGCCAAGGGGGATCTGGTATGGGGGCATGTCTACGGTAGCTATAGTGTAGGGCACCATAGTATACAGAGTGCTGGGCCTGGAGACAGGAAGACCTGAGTCAAATCCTGTCTCAGTCACTTCCTAGCTGGGTGACGCTGGGCAAGTAACTTGACTGCCGTCTGCCTCAGTTTCCTCGTCTGTAAAATGGGAACCACAGTGCTGACCTCCAGAGCTGGTTGTGAAGATCAAAGGAGGTATTTGTAAAATGCTTTGCAAACCTTCAAGTGCCACATATACATGCCAGTTAGCATCACTGTTATCATGGGGCAAGAGCTGGATTGACCACTTGTCCCACTGGCATTCATACAACAGAGCTCTGGAGAAAGAGGTCCAGCACGTTGAGTGCCTCTCCCCCTAACTCACTTCCCACTAGCGGGTATATAGGGCAGGGACAAGAGGATTAACCATCCATTAAGCATCGACTACGGGCTGGATCAAAATTGGAGGGGGGGCCACATCCCAGAGGTGACGTTCATACCAAAGCTATAGCAGCGATACTCAAAGAGCTTCCCACCCCCCTCAAGGTCATACAAAGAAAAATGGCTCCCCAAGAATCTCCACAATCAACCCTCCTGTTACCTTTGTACCCTGGAGCCTGTCCCAGAAGAGGCACTTATGGCATCCCCCGATACCCTAAGGAAAAATCATAATTACAGGTTTCATTTCTACCACCGAGAGGCAGCGTGCCTCGACTTGGGCAGACCTCCCAGAGCCACGCCCAGGTCAGTCACGTGAAGGCCGCCAGAGGCTTCCAAAGCATGTTCTCCCAAAGCATCCTGGGAGGCAGAAATATCATTATCTCCACTTTACAGACAAGAAAGAAGAGGCCTCGTGGAAAGAGCTGGCCTCAAGGCCCGACTCTGACATGGCTTGGTTGGGGGACACCTCTCAGTGGCCAACTAACTCTCTGGTAGTCTCTAAGCTGTAGAGGAGGTGCCGGTCTGTCCTGGCAAAGGAGGTTTCGTCACCTGGGAGTTCCAAATCATAGGTCCCGGACCTACTCTCTCCCTCCAGATGAGCAGACTGTGCCCCACAGGGGTTTGAAAGGAGCCACCCAGGTTCACACAGGTTATTACACAGCCAAGAGCTGTGATGTGAACCTAGGTCGTACTGATCCCCAGAGTTCACTGCCCTTTCCATTAAGCCGGACTGAGTCTCCAAACAGCACCCACAAAACACTAGGCAGAGAGTAAAGGCTGAAGAACTCCAAAATCTCAGAGTAATCTCAAAGATAATCTTCTTTAATGGAGAAGTGCTCATCCAGCCTCTGCTGGGGACCTCCAGGGATGGGGAGCTCACTACCTGCTGAGACAGCCCATTTTACTTTTAAATGCCTCAACCTATCAAGATGGTTCTCTTCCACTAAGTCAAAAAGCCACCTCTTTGCATCCTCCTGGCACTGCTCCTGGTTCCACAGCCCAGGTCAAGCAAACTAAGTAGAATTCTTTTTCCACGTGAAGACCCTTTGCCCCGATGCTGGGAAGCTTTAGGCTCCCTATATCCCCAGCTCCTGTAATGGACCCATTTTCTGACAGGGTCTCCAGTCCCCTCTCACCCCTCCTGCCTGGTCACTCTCCTCTGAGACTCACCTTCTTCCTAATATGGTGCCTCCCGGGTGAACCAAGGCTTGCCCTGGCTGCAGCCTCCTCCCCAAGCCCTGTGACATTCCAGTGTACCACCTAATCTTGAAGTCTTGGGGTCCCAGGAGGCCTCAGGCCTCTCTCAAGGTCACTCTCAACCCCAGACTAAACAAAGAGACTGGTGAAAAGTTACTAAATCCCAACAGCAGAATCCAATTTGGCTGTGGAGAAATAATAATAATGGTGATGGTGATGGTGATGGTGATGATGATGGTGATGATGGTGATGATGATGACGGTGATGGTGATGATGACAGTGATAGTGATGATGAAGATGATGAGGATGGTGATAATGATGGTGATGATGAAGATGATGATGGTGATGATGATGATGATGGCTAACATTCATACAGTGTCTACTGTGTACCAGGCACTATGCTAATAAGCATTTTACAATCATTCTCATTTGATCCTCACAACTCTGGGAGGTGGGGGCTACTGTTATCCCCATTTTTACAGATGGGGAAACTGAGGCAAACAGAAGTGACTTGCCCAGGGTCACACAGCTAGTAAGCGTCTCCGAACTTCTTCCTTGCTTTTTTCCTACTTCTCAAATAGTTCAAGTTTAACAATGAGTTACTGCGTCCCTACTACATCCAGATTACTGTCCTAGGTATCTAAGAAGAACTAGTCTGGTCTATTTGGGGAGATAAGGTCCACTTAAAATACCTTCCAGTCCTTACTGTTTTCCGAGTTGGAAAGGGGGCCCATGTTAATCATTTCATTTGGCCCCAGCTGAAAAGGAATGGGCTTAGAAGCTCTCTGAGGGCAGGACAAGCCCTGTCGCATTTCTCTGGATTTCCCAGATGCCTGAAGCTGCTGTGCAAATAGACAGCCTTGTGTCTTCTGCCTCCTCCTCTGCCCTCAGCCAAGACCAGCTTTGAGAGGAAGTCTCCTGACTAGCCTGGGGCGGGGGGGTCTGTGAGGCCCAGAGCATTCACTGGCCCAAAGGCCTGCTCTTTCCATCACAAGACACTATCTAGCTCTTCCCCCAGGACCCCTGCCCATGTGAATGAAACCCAAACAAGGCAGAGATCTGCTTTTCTGAGTCCCAAGCAGAAGGTCAGCTTTCTCTGCCAGCTGTCAACCAAGGCGTGTGTGTGGGTGCCAGATGGGGGAGGGGACAGCTGGTAAGTCACCTTTCTACAAGAAGAGCCTCCCAGCTTCCTTAATCAGACCATAAGGTTCTCCTGCCCCGGCAAGGGAAGTCCATGGCCCCAAGCCTGGGGAAGAAGGGCTCCCCCTAGCCGACTGCTTCTTGCCAGTGCTTACATGACTGGCCCATGACCCAGGATTTTTCCTGTAGTTTAAGAGAAAGAAGAGCCAGCTACACTGAAAAAGCCTCACCACCCAGCGCTGGCAGTGATGGGGGCCATGTCTGGCTAGACCAGGCATGCAAGGTGAGGCTGGAGAGAAGGGGGAGAGATGGGCACCATCATTCCTGACATCATCCCCTGGGGCTCAGTTACAAATCCTGCCTTTGTTAGCTCTAATGAGGCCATTCCCGGCAGAAAGCAAATTTCACGGTGGGATAGGAAACTGACTGGGAGAAGAGAGGCAAAGAGAAAGGGAAAAAGGGGGAGAAAGCAAGAGAAAAAGAAAGAAGAAAAGACAAAGGCGGAGAGAAAGGGATAAAGGGGAAGAGAATGAATGAATGAACGAATGAATGAATGAATGGATGGATGAATGGATGAATGAAAACTACCCCTTCCAGCCTAAACTCACTTCAGAAAAAAAGACACAGTCCAATGCGTTTCGCCCAAACAAAGAAAATCCTAGAAATACCTTCCCATCTAAATATCTTTTAGCCTGGCCCATTTGAAGGAAGACTCCACCTTCAAGAAACAGGACTGCTCCAAGCTTCCAGCCAAGGGAGACCCGACTCCAAGGCAAAGCCAAGATATCCTCCAGGCCTCCTCCCCTCTGACCACTGACCTTCCCGGCTCCCTGTAAGTCCCAGCAAAACCCCCACCCCCTGGAAGAAGCCTTCTCCTTCCCCAAGCCCTCTGAATTCCAGGGCCTTCCCTCTGTTAATTATTTCCCATTTATCCTGCATAAAGCCTGCTTGGTATCCATGTGGTCTCCTCCATCAGACTGTAAGCTCCTTGAGGGCTCCTTGCCTCTTTTTTGTATCCCCAGTGCTGGCACATAGTAGGTACTTAATGTTTATTGAATGAATGAAGGAATCTGCTAGCTCAATACTGTAATGTGTAACAGTGGACTGGAAGAATATCATTCTTAGGAGGTGGAAGTTACAGTGACTCTGGGGTCAGAGGACTGGGTTCCAATCCTGCCTCTGATATCTACCACCCGGGTGACCTTGGACTGAAGTCACCGATTCTTCCAGGGCCTCAGAGGGAGGCCGCTTCCAGCTCTGGATCTACAAACCTAG